TTTTTTCTATGGTTGATGCCCTCCCCAACGGTAAGTTACATTTTCTACATTGAACTGTGCAACTTCATTGGTCAGATGTTGTCATTCTTGGACCTCTAATGGCCTCTGCAAGGCTTCAAAAAATGTAAGTTTAGATGGCTGAGGCTCCTGAATGCTGACATGTTTCAGTCCTAATGCCCTGTCAGGTCATTCTGCTTGCTTCTTTGTCCTGCGTTTTTTTTTTGGAGTGTGAAAGGTGGGCAGGTGAAAGGTGGTGGCGTCAAACATGCTCAAGCAGCTACCTCAGAAATTATTGCATTTTGTGGCATTCCACATGCCTCATCAACAGTCAGATACAGTAAGTTACATTTTCCACACTAGACGGTGCAACATAAAGCAACTTCATTGGCCAGATGTTGGCATTCCTACACCTCTACAAGGCCTCAAAAAATGTAAGTTTACATGTCTGAGGTTTCTAAACACTGATATTTTTCAGACCAAGCGCTCTCTCACTTCAGTCTACTTACATTTTCTTGGACGCACAGGACCAGCTGGTTGATGACTTGTTTGAAGAGGATTACCTGGATGATTGTGACTTGGAGGAGTGTGAGCACTATGAGGACACACCTGAGCAGGATCCAGAAGTCCTGGAAGACACTCCAGAAAATCTATTGCAGGTTTTGGAGGACCGACAGTCGTTGATCGTCAATTTGCAGAAGGTCATGGCAGAGCAGCCAGAAGAGCTACCAGGTGCGCTGCCAGAGACCTCCAAGGATGTGGATGACCAAGATGATGCACCGCTTCCTGTGAAAGCCGTAGGGAGTTTCGAGGACATTCTTGCAGCTGTGGGAAAGTCTCCGCACTTTTGTGAATCCAGCAAGACCTTTGCCACCGGATGCATGCAGCGTCTTCGTGATTTGGTCGGGCCTCTCAAGAGCTTTGTCGACCAAGTGCATATCTCCGAGAGGATTTTGTCAGGGACACAGTTGTTCAACTATACGGAACATATTACTTTCATGTGATCTCATAAAACATCATAAAACATTTGACAATATTTTGTTTTACGATGTTTTACGTTTTTTTGGTGGTGTTTTGTGAGTGGCAACCCGAATCCTGTACAGGTCCAAGACGCAAGTGCAGGGCGTGCGCACCAATGAAAACATGTATAACATCTTGACATCTCAACTATGCAGAACACGTCAGTTCAACCGCCATACGGCGGCGCGTGGAGGACGCATGTACAATTGGTTTGCTGCACAACAAAGCCTCGTTGAGAAGGTCGCAGATGAGCCCGGTGATGGCCCGCAAGCAGTTCTGTCCTCCAGTGTGTTCCGACCAATATGCAGCAAGGAGCCGCAGTTACTTCTCGTGAAGGACATCCAGGGCGGGATCATGCGCTTCGAGGTCATGGTGTGCTTCAGCGTGTTTCGAGGCGCTGTGGCTCGTGAGCCGGGCGCCAGCCGGCGTCTACGGGTCACGAAGAACTTGGGCATCAACGCCCCAGCTGAGGCAGTTGCCCGGATCTTGGTGCTCTATCTTGAATGGGTGCCACCGAACAAGGAGACTTGCACTGTACAGAGAGTCCCTGTGTTTTCTTATGTGTCAAATAAGGTAACTACCAATTTCTTGAGGCACTGGAATCCAGCGTGTAGGCAAGGAGTATTGATTTGTGCACGCCCTGACACACACCAACTGAAGGGAAATACTTGCTTCATGCCAGTGTCAACAAATGTAACTTACTTTTTTTCAGGTGATCCAATCATTGTAAATCTCCTGAGTTGTACAGATTTGGTTATTGTGAGCCTACTTTTTGTAGTGGTATTCCAGGAAGACCTGGGTGAGATGAAGCAGCGTGGCTTCTATGTGACCTCTACCATGGCACGGAGCAAGCTGGTCACACCTTTGGATGAAGTCCTAGGTGAGATCCCCATTGAGGAGTGGGGCACTCGAAACGGCTGCTGCTACTTTGCACTACCGGAGAAAACCATGGAGTTCTTGCGGGAGGTGGAGGAGGGCGAGATAAATCCTATGACGTTTTTCTTGCCAAAGAAGAAGGAGAACGAAAAGCAGGTGGTTTCTACTTCTGAGAAGCAGGATTGTGGCTTTTCCGTGATGGATTTTCCACGCGGAGCAACAGGTCAGCGGAACCTGAAAAACTTTTTCCAAATGTTGCCCGATGTTTACAAAAAGCAGGGCATTAATTTGCTTCGTGCAGGCGATGTTATCAAGATCAACAAGGAGCTACATGCATGGGGACCTCTGTGCATTCAATGCTCCTTGTATTTTGACATGTTGGAGACGTCCACGAAAAAGGGACACTCCCAAGCTGTTTACCACCGGATTGAAAGATTCATTCCGGGAAAGCTGAGCTCAACTGGCAAGGATGAGGGACATGTGTCCCTGCTTTCATTTTTGAGGCAGGTGATCCAAGTGGTCCCTCCCAACTTGTTGGTTGGCTAGATGGCATTTCACTTGGAAATGCTTGTGAGGGACGTGCCACTGTGGGAAGGTGGCCTAAGGCCATGACTCGCGAAGAGCGCAGGCTGAAAAGAAATTTAGTACGCTGCAGTCTCTGAAGATGTAAGTTACAGTTGCAGGCAGACTGCCTGGAAATTGTAAGTTACATTTTCCAGTGCATTGTTACATTTTCTCCCTGTCCATACCTGGATATTGTAACTTACTTTTTTCCAGGGAAATCTGAACAAGTGTAAGTTACATTTTCCAGGCACCCTCGTACAGGAAAATGTAAGTTACAATTTGTCAGGTCCCCCCTGGATAATGGGTGGGGATTCTATAATCATTGTTTTTGGACACCCTTACAAGGAGGGCCATGTATTTTTAACTTATTCTTGCTTCTGTGGGCAGGAAGGAAAAGGAAGGAAAGA